AAGATCCCAGGGACCTTTACCTACGAAGTTTAAAGCTTAACGGCAGTTCCGTAGTGTGAGGATTAGTCTAGCCAAAGGGTGTGGTTTTTAGTGGGTCGACCAGAACAAGAACTCTCATCCCCACATAACTTCGAAGCACCGGACTCCAAGTATTTGCCTTGGATACTAAGAGATATGCAGATTTTCCACTTCCCTCGTAAAAAAAATTATAAAAATAATCGAGAAAGAAGTTTTGTTTTTATAGCTGGAAATAATCAAATTGTCAAAGAAAATGAAAATAATATCACTTTTCTCTTGGACTCAGGTGAAAGCGATCATATTATTAATAGGGAAGATCTAACAGGCAATTTCAAAGAATTAATTCCACCAATCAAGATTTCTGTGGTCAAGTCTGTGGTCTTTTTGATAGCAACGAAAAAAGGATCGACTATCTTGTCAATAAGAAAAATGCAGAAGGTTCGATTGCAGGTCTAACGTCTAACTTTACATGGTTTAATTTAATTGTATTATATATAAAGCTATTCATATGTGTTTAATTTATGTTGCAAATTAATATTATACTTAATTCATTATATTGCTTAAATTTTAGATTTTTAATAATATTTTTGATACTATATACAAATATTAAAAATGGTATCGTAATATACTATTTTTCATTATCCCCAGCCGAATGTACGTTTAATAATGAATAATAAATAATAAAATAGCGTTCGCTCATATAAATTTCTACTACTTATACTTTTGCGGCCTGCGACAGTGCGCTACCGTTGCCCGCCCGACTTTTGCAAAACCGTGGCTTCTGCTGGTCGGGACGGGTATAGGAAGCATATTATGGATGTTTTCGTCAATCACTGGCAGTAACTAAAACCAGTGAACAGTGGTGCTCAACTGAATTTTTTGTTAAAATGCAAAATTGCACACGTGTGAATGCACCTTTACTGTCAGTAGTCAGGAAGGGTTAGTTTTGCTCATGATTTGCTTTTGAAAGAAAGTGTTTTGCTGAACTGCGTAGAAAATGCGTAGAAGTGTGCAATACTGCAATTACCTTGTGCAATTAGTTGTTTTTTATTTTGATGACCAGTTTGTTTAACAAACTATAGAAGAAAATGAGTGATAAGCACTATAAAATGGTTGAAGCTATTTTTGACCCGACAACGGGTAAAATGCTTCATCATCCCGACAACAGCAATTTGATTATGTGTTTTGCCCTGGACTCAAACGGTAAGTAACGTACTTTCAATTAAATTCACAAAATGTGAATTTTCCAAATATAATTTATGTATATAATTTGGCAAAAGAATTTAAATATGAACGAGTTTTAAAATTAATTGATGTTAATAAGTTCACACTCAACATTATTATTTCATTTTTTGTTTTTCGATTAGGTAATTTAACATTTTTTGAACGTATTTTACTATTTTAAAAAAGAGAAGTAATTGAACGAATTTCTTTTATGAACTGATACAATTAAAGAAATGTATTACACAAGCATTTTTTAATGGGTAGTTATTTTTACAGTGCACATTAGAAATTTTTTTGCGATAAGCAATATTAAAATTGTATTAATATTTCAAATAAAGTTTGTTCTTGTTTAATAAACATAAATTGGGTGTTGTAAAGTTTTGAACTTTCTAGAGGTGTGCAAAATCCCGAAAACTCGAATTGGGTATAGGGCTAAATTTTTGTCAGGTCGGGCTCGGGTTACTTTCAATGACCTTTGACTCGAAATGATTGATTTTGTGAAGAATTTCGTCAGAAGATTAAAATTTGCTTTTTCATCGACTTTTAAATAAAGTGAACCAAAAAAAATAATTTTGGAATTTTTATTTAAAACATCATTTCTTATAAACAAATTCATTTTTTTCAATTTGAATATTTTTCTCTCTCCAAAATTGCTTGCAAACTGTTTCTTCCATTCCTAGACAAGAAATAAAGCTAAAAAGTTTTTAAAAGCCCCATATTCAAAGAAATAAATTTGTTTATAAACAATTATTATTTTTAATATACATTTTTAAAACTGTTTTCTTAATTCTTATTTTCATTTATTAGAATAAAAAGTTTTTTTTCACTTAAACCCTACATTTTACAAATAAAAATGCAAATTAAAAACGAAAAAAATAATTGCTTTTTTCAAACAAATTATTAACAAAAATTTTTATCAGGCCCACTCTAAAACTACTACACTACAATTCTTATCATTTTCAGATAAAAATTAAGAAAAAAATTAAGAAAAAAAAATTGGAAAAAATGAATTTGTTTATAAACAATTTTAATTTTTAAAATAAAAATGCAAAATATTATTTTTTCTAAACTGCATCCCAATCGTCAAGGAGAAAATAAACTTTTTTTATTTGGCGAAATATTTTTAAAATCAAGCATTTTTAAGTTATAGGTAATTGAAAATAGATCTATACTTCAAAAAATTTAAGGTTTATTTATTACTATTATTATTATTATTATTTATATGATATTCGGGGTCTTATTCAGTAAATATTCATTTAATTTTTTTATCTAAAACCCGTATATTTTACTCATTTTAAATTTTCTTTTTTTTCAATTTTGAAGATACTTTTTTTTCAAAATGCTAATTTTTATAATAAAATATAAAATTAAAATAGAATATTATTTAAATTTGTTCATTTAAACATTTAAAACTTTATAAGGGCATTAATAAGCGTTAACAATTGCATAGTTCATCAGTAAGAAAAAATTTATGAGTTTGTGATTTTACAAATAATTTAGATTTACAATTTTACGAATAACATAATGGTGATCCTCGAAAATATTTATTTGCTATACCTTAAAAGCCTTGGAAACATCTTTAATTTTTTTTTAAATTAGTTGAATATTTATGTTCATTTTAGGACGAGAAACCGTTATATATTTGCCACCTGAAAAGGTGCCAAATATGGACATATCGCCACCGCCATATCTTGTCGCAACTACGTCAAATGCTGATCAAGATCAACTTGATTACGGACAGGATGAGGACGAGCTCGAAGAAGCAGAACAGGAGCAAAAGCTGGATTAGTATCAGTATCAAGATCAATATCAGGATCAGTATCAGCATGAAGATCAGGATCAGGATCAGGATCATGATCAGGTTCAGGATCAGGAGCAGAGTCAGGAGAATTGTGAGAAAATGGATTTAGGTTGGTTTATAAATTTACTTAGGAGAATATCAATTATATTAAAAACGGTATATTTAAAATACCAATATATTTGTAAAAAAACGGTTCTAAACAGTTGCTTAATCACAAAAAATAATAATAATAAAACCGGCATTTACTGAAAAACCGGTTTAAAAAAACCGAAAACCGGGATTTCATAACCGACCACCGGTTTCCACAAAAACTTTGAAAGTAAACTGGTATACCGATTTACCGCACATGCCTAGATGTAATAGGATAAAATTGTTTTTGCAGACAAAAAACTTTGAAAAACCAAAAATTGTAACCAATTGCTCTTAAATTTGAGTCAGAGGTACTTAGGGGTTTTTGATGAAAATGTTTACGTCAGAATAATGAAAGTATAAAAAATTGGTTCGGGGTCGTCAGTAACACACACAGTTCTTTCCTTTTTTTAACCCCACTACTCCCCTTGGCACATCTTGTCAAATTTTTGACAAACTGTCTTACAAAAATTCAAAATTGATTGACCTCCCCCTTCATTTTTAAACATGTTAGTAAAATATCATTATTTTTTCATAAGATATTTTTAAAGTATTAAAAATTTATGTTATGTCCTTATTATTAAAAATTGGGTTTTGTAAATTCCTACAAACTATTTCATTAGAAGAAAATATCTCCTTCCCGCCCAAAAAAAAAGAAAAAAATAATAATTTACTCAACATGATTTATTAAACATATTTAAAAATTATATGCTCAAACAAATAATATAAAATACATAAATGTATGTTTACTTTTTTACTTTGTAATGTCACACTACAAACGATGACACAACCCCCTCTTTGTCACAATTGTCACAAAAAAATATGCAACCCTTCTTTCCCCTTCTCACCTTAACTTGTTGTGTATTTTATAGATGGACTCGTGTAATAGATATATTTAGTAAATTCGATTAATTCTTTACTCTGGCACACTTTCTAAAAATCACGTAAACGGCACACAGGGTGTTTGACACCAGAATTTCCAGATTGGCTTAACCTTTAGAAATAAACTCAAAAATTTGTGTCTTTAGACAGTTTTTAATATTTATTTTAAAAATTTGAGCTAAATATAGCAATTTTAATTTCACATTCAGATTCGTGGGAAAAAAATACATCGGAATACATTAGTATAGTGTCTTGGCAAAAATTTTTCTTGTTTTTGTGTTATTTAGCAGTTTTTTGAGTTTATTTCGAAATTTAAAACCCATATGACTATTATGATTGAAAATTAAGATTCGTTGAGAAAAAATACATGCTAATACACTGTGTATTGTAGCCCACACAACAGCGAAACTTTCCTGAAAATTTCCTAAAGATTTACTATAAATTTTCGAAATATTTTATTGCAATGTTTATAGAAATTTGTTTAAAGATTTAAATTTCCCACTTAATAAATATTTAGCGCAAAACTTTCCTGAACATGTCCAATACATTTTCGCTATAATGACTTAGGCGAAAATGTAATTTAAATGTTCAGGAAAGGTTCAGGAAAGTTTTACGTTAAACATTTATTTAAGTGGGACATTTAAATCTTTACACAAGTTTAATAAACATTGCAATTAAATATTTCGAAAATGTCAAGTAAATCTTTAGGAAATTTTCAGTTAAGTTTCGGTGCTATGGAAGATTGTCAAAGAAGAAATAATTTTTTTATTTTAATTACTGTATTTAGACATTTTTTTAGTATTTAAGTTTAATTTCGGATGTCTGTAATGTCCAGTATGTCATTTAAATCATGCTCAAAACTGAATTACGATTTATTCAATTAATTTTCGTTTTTTTTGTTTCTTTTTTCTTTGCAGAAACGGAATTAAAAAAATTCGTTGGCAAGGGAAAAATGACAAAACCACGTTGTGGCGATGAGGGAAACGAAAAGATACTGCCAAGTAAGCTTTTTAATTGAAAAGTAAATTTTTTGTAATTTAAATTAATATATTTTCAAATAATTTATTATTAATTGCTGTGGATTGTACTGTTTCAATATTCTACTTTTTTTGTTTTAGAGAAAACGCGTACACAGTGGACACCTGACATGACCAAGGCATTGATAAATTGTTATTCGTCACTAAAAGAGACATGCAAGTTAAAAGGGGAGAAGTTTTGGTCGCTTCTTTCAAAAGTAATGGTAGAAAAGGGACATGATGTGAGTGCGCATCTATGTGAATCAAAATGGGATTCGTTATGTAGAACCTACAAAAACACCATTGATCGGAGTAAACAAACCGGAACAAGTCCGTCAAAGGAGTCAAAGTCGACTTCCTTCAAGGAAATGCATAAATTTATGTACAAAAGGCCCGAAATAAATCCGCCGGCAGTGGCTTCGAGTCTGGCAGGATACAAACGAAAAGTTTCTTCCATAATTGATGTTAATGGTAATGAAATCGAAATTTCTCCAAAAAGATTAAAGCGCGCAAAGGCAAAGAAGCCGGATGCAGAATGTTCGATGAAAGAAATGAACGATGATGCCAATTTTCGTCACAAAGAAAATTTGGAGCGAAAAGACGCACTATTGGACATAATGAAAGATGTCCGCGACTCGTTAATTAAGAGACGATAAGTCGATTTATTTTTGTTCTCCTTTTACAGCGTAAAAAATGAAACTTAACAGCTGATATTTCATAGACGTTTTGATATTTTTTTAAAAATGAATTTATTGTGCTTGAATTTAACCGATTTCAAGTTATTTTTCAAAGAATTGATATTTTCACGTCTTTCTAGTTTAAAATTGATCAGTTTCGGAACAATTAAAGTAAATAACTTAAATTTGAAGTGAAAAATGAAAAACGATGATTGTTTTGTTACATTTTGAAACCGTTCTCTTCTTGTTGTTTTAAGTTTTAGTTGCGCACAAAAATTTATGTACGCATAATGAGTATTTTTTTTCTCCGTACTCGATTATTCCTGTGACGAAAAAGTTACTGTTAACTTTATGGAAATTTTTCTTAATGAGTATTATTAAATTTATTAAAAACACTTAATTGTATCTTTCAAAGGTAATTAGAGTAATTACTATCTTAACTATAGAAGAGCTACCATAAAATTCACTCTTCTGATTGTGATATAAAAAAATGTGTTCCAATCAATACCAGACTGAACGTCGAATAAGATTTTGCAATATGTATGTGTTAATAAATACAAACTCAAATGTGATGTCCAAAATGTGTTCGTTATGAGACTTATGTTATTTAATTTGTAATTAAAGATTGTATGTATGTACCAAAAGAAAATTTTATTTTAAAAAAATAAAGATACATATATGACAGTTATTACCTTTGTATTATATTTTTTACTGTTATGGCAACACTTCCTATGATTTCAATAACTTTCAGCGACGAGCAGCTTTTCCACAAAAAGGTTTTTTTTACATTTTATGAAATATCTTTTACAGGGTGTCTAACGACCCGGGAAATCCGGGAATTTGCCGGGAATTTTAAAATCATGTTTCGCTAGACACCCTGCTTTTACAATTAATTTTTAATTAAAAGTAAGATTTCTCGGTAATTATTGTCTTCTAACATGATTTTGAAAGAATACTTCAGCAATAATATTGCGCTTTTGCAGTGGAGGAAATTGTATGTTTTGATCTTCCATTTGTTCACCATCACCACCACCAAGACCATCAACACCGCCCCCACCTGCTGCTGCATGATCATCAACATTTGCCTCCAATAATTTCTCATCATCAAGCACATCATCCAAGGAAATGCAAATGTTGTGAAGGCAGCAGCAGGCAAGGATGATGAGAGGTGCGTTTGCAACGTCTTGCACATACAAATATTTTAGACGCCGGAAACGACCCAATAACATGGCAAAGACTCTTTCAATAATTTGCCTCGTTAGGGCATGAATTAGATTGAATAGTCTTTCAATTTCTCCCAAATTGCCGTAATCTTTATACGGTGGTATCAAATTAAACTGAACTGGATAAATCTTGTCGCCGAGAATGTGGCTTTGGTCTGGAAAATACTCATCGTAATGGTGTTGACATTCCTCGTAAATAGTACTCAATGACCATACTCTCGCATCGTTGACGCTTCCAGGACATGCAGCGTATACGTCGATGAAGCGCATCCTCGCGTCGCAAATTCCCTGTATGTTTATTGAATAATAACCTTTTCGGTTGTAGTAACTCTCTGCATGTTCATGCGGAGCGCTTATTGGGATGTTGCAGCCATCAACGACACCAATGACTCCCGGGATCCCGGCCATTTCGAAAAATTCCTGTTGATTGATTGCAATGGCCTCACCCCTGGGCCATACAATAAATTGAGGTGCACGTCTATTGAGCACACGTGACACTTGTCTCACGCACACCCACGCCGTTGACTGAGCAACCCCAAATCTGCAGGCTACAGATCTATAAAAAAATTCTATTTTCAGCAACATATACAATATAATTACTAAAAATTATTTTATTTTCAGGTTAATACACAAAAATAAGTATGTATAGGGTATAAGGTTGTAAAATAAGATTATGTAGCGAAAATGACTTTAATTACTTATAAAGTACATGAGAGATTTCACGTCAGATTTCAGTTCACATTTAAAATTCGGACTAAAATATTTTTTTTTGTTCCTTAGAGAAAAAAATTCCACACTCATATGTATATAAAATTGTTTTCATGAAATTTTAAGTATAATATATACGACAAAAAATAGAATATTATTTAAAAATTTCTAATTTCTTATGAAAATCTTCTGAGTTTTACTTCTTCGAGCGTCTCCGTGTTACCAATTCGCGAATGAAATCATGTTTTTTAAAAAAATGTATACTTGTTTTAAAATACATACCGAAACACTTCCTGGTTTGCAAATGTCCATAAAGTTAACAGTAACTTTTTCGTCACAGGAATAATCGAGTACGGAGCAAAATTAATAATATCCTGACTCAGCATCAGACTCAAATTTTCAAAAGTAGTCCTATTCATTCTAAAATGTTTGCAAAAAGCTGCAAATAATTACCAATTGTCATTAAATCGTAATTAAAACTAATAATTCTTCAAAATTGTAATTATTTGAAAATTTATCAATCACATGCCTTTGAAAAGAACACTGTCCACTTTGGGATCCTCGTGTATGTACATTTTGATGAAACCCATCTAGAAATGTTGCGGGTCAATATTGTTGATGGGTCCCATTTCTGTACACGATGGACCCAGAATTCCATACCTATACAGTGTTCTCATCAATTGTACATTCAAAAATTTGAAGTAAAATTTCTCAAACACTCGATTTTTTTAGGCTTTTGAATAAAAATGTTAAAATCGTCGATTGATTAACAACTTATTGTTGCAAATTTTTAATTCTTAATCATTAATTCAGTTTTAATTATAATGACAAAAATTTCAATTGTAACTCTTTAAAAATGGAATTAATCTAAAAAATTTTAATGAAAACTCTTTAAAAATTTAATCATTCACAGAAGATGTTTAATTAATTATTAAGTAATTCATACTATTAAATATATTCTAAAATTTTTATATAAGTTCTCCTAATATCAATATTTTCTAAAACTATTTCAACTGAAATGCTGTGTAAAGTCGTGATGCCTTTTAAACATAATGTTTTTTCATTTTAAGAGATTTTGTTTCTAGATTATAAAAAATGTATTTTATAATATTGTTTCAGAGCTTTAATGTTAAAAATTATAATTACATCTCTTTTAAATATAAAATATTAATTTACAAAACTGAAATATTCAATTGTTCTGTAAAATTTGAATATCCACTTTTTCAGACGTAAAGTATGAACATTTCAATTTTTTTACTTGAAAATATTCTCAAACAGCAGTTTAGTTGTTAATCTTTCAAAAATTCAATTATTTTTTTCTAAAGTTGTTCATAAAATTAATTAGTTTCAATAATTTTAGGGTCATTCCATTATATTTCACCTAAAGTCGTTGCGGCCTAATTTTTAAAAAACTTGGTACTTTCAGAAATGATTTTTTATGATATTTAGGAAACGAAATAAAAAGAATTAAGTTAAAATTTTTATTATTTATCTCAAAATATGTATTTAAAGTGGACAAGGTGCGGAAAAATGTCACCTTTTTAGCATTTAGAAACTTTTTTTAAAAACATAGAAAAATTGTTAAAAGTGTAAAAAAAATTATTTTTTCTTGTTTAGAATCGATTAATTATCTATTTTTTTAATGATTAAAGTAGTAAATAAATTAAAATAATATATAAAATAAGTTTTCAAAGTTGGTCTGTCAAATAACCTAATTTTGGGATTTTTATTAATTAATTACTAAAAAGTGGAGTTATTAAATAAAATAAAAACTTACCGAATGTAAAGTATTTGTGGTGAACTTTCAAATTTTCTTAGCACTTTTTACTTTTTCCATTTATAAATGTAAAAAATCTTGAGTCGAAAATTGGCACTTTGTTGATTTTTCTGATTTTTAATCGCTTGTAACTCTTTTGGTGCAAAATAAAAACTTTTGAAACCTGGCGGAATATTTAAGTTAAATCTAAATAAAAACTCACTTAAATTTTTGTGATGGATTTTGATCGAGATAAGGAGAAAATTTAATTCCAAAATTGTACGTATATTTCCAGGTTAATGTATGTAATTTTTTTAAACTTGAAGTTGGGCCACTACTTCAAAGACGAAAAATTACATACATTAACCTGGAAATATACGTACAATTTTGGAATTAAATTTTCTTCTAATCTCGATCAAAATCCATCACGAAAATTGCAGTGAGTTTTTATTTAGATTTAACTTAAATATTCCGCCAGGTTTCAAAAGTTTTTATTTTGCACCAAAAGAGTTACAAGCGATTAAAAATCGGAAAAATCAACAAAGTGCCAATTTTCGACTCAAGATTTTTTACATTTATAAATGGAAAAAGTAAAAAGTGCTAAGAAAATTTGAAAGTTCACCACAAATACTTTACATTCGGTAAGTTTTTATTTTATTTAATAACTCCACTTTTTAGTAATTAATTAATAAAAATCCCAAAATTAGGTTATTTGACAGACCAACTTTGAAAACTTATTTTATATATTATTTTAATTTATTTACTACTTTAATCATTAAAAAATAGATAATTAATCGATTCTAAACAAGAAAAAATAATTTTTTTTACACTTTTAACAATTTTTCTATGTTTTTAAAAAAAGTTTCTAAATGCTAAAAAGGTGACATTTTTCCGCACCTTGTCCACTTTAAATACATATTTTGAGATAAATAATAAAAATTTAAACTTAATTCTTTTTATTTCGTTTCCTAAATATTATAAAGAATCATTTCTGAAAGTACCAAGTTTTTTAAAAATTAGGCCGCAACGACTTTAGGTGAAATATAATGGAATGACCCTTTAAACAAATCTTTTTACAAATGGAGTCATTAACTACAGTTTTCAATTATTATCAATTACTTATCTGAAATTTTTTTATTTCATTAGATTTTTGCAAACATTCCACTTTTATATCGTCTGAATTTGAATTCCTTTAAATATCTATTTTAACTGTATATTTTCAATAAATTCAATAATTCTTTTCTAAAACTTTCAACTTAAATTTCCCCTACCTAATTTAATAATTATCAAAAATTAGTAAAAAAAAAAAATTCGTCTCCTAAAATTATGCAATTT